GTATGATTTACACAACCTCCTGCTCTGATACCAATTGATGAGTTGAAAACTCTTTTAAGATCGATAAGATTCTTAACAAATAAATCAGAAAGTAAACCAAAGTGAAAACACACAATGAATCAAACAGATTTCGAATGATTAAAACAGCAACACCTCAGAAGAGCTCGACAAAGAACTTCTACTGTAGAGGTGTGCTAGGGTTAAAGTACAATCAAAGAAATATTCAAGAAGCTTTTCTAATCTGATGCATGCATGCACCATAAATACTAAACCCTAATAACTACAACACGGATGGACATGCCCAAACCGTGAAAACATTGGACTAAACTGAAAAGCCCAATGATGCAACACCTAGACTCAACATATATTTTTGTACTATTGCTCTTGATATATCCTTATTTCATCTGAGTGACACATGTTGAGTTATCTTCATAAATTAAAGTTGGACCTTTATCTTTATCTAGTCCAAATAAAGACAAAATGAGTTGTCTCATCAATCTTAACCATGTGCATTCTCTACTAGCTTCATTTAGTGTAATTACTTCATCATGATTTGAGGATATGGCGGTAAGCGTTTTCTTTTTAGAGTGCTAGGAAATTGTGGTGCTTCAGTTCATGAAGACGTATCTTGTTTGAGATCCAGATTTATGAGGATAACGTAAATACCATGCAAATGCATATCCTATCAAACCTTGTTTTGAATTTTTAGGATAAAATAACCCTAAATCAGTAGTTCCTTGAAGGTATAACAAAATATGCTTAATCCCATTCCAGTGTCTTTTGTTGGGGATGAACTGAACCTTGCTAGCAAGTTTACAACAAAAGAAATGCCAAGTCTAGTACAATTGGTAAGATACATAAGAGCCCCAATTGCATTTAGTTATGGTACTTCTGGACCAAGAACTTATTTATTTTCTCCGCGGGGAAAAAATGGATATTTGTCATTATTTAATGATCTAACAATCATTTGGGTGCTTAAAGGATTGGCATTGGCCATATTGAAATGTTCCAACACTCTTTCTTAGTTTGATTGGTGCACAAGTATTCCGTTAGGCATATGATCAATCTGCAACCAAGACAATATTCGGTTTTGATCTTTCATTTCAAATTCTTTCTTTAAAATTTCAATCACTTCAAGGGTTTCTTTATTCGATCCAATGATGTTTAGATCATCAACATAGACCGCTATGATCACATACCTATATGTTGATTTCTTCATAAATACGCATGGACAAATAGTATTATTTTTATAACCTTTGCTTTTCAAATAATCGCTTAAACGATTGTACCACATGCGTCCAGATTGCTTTAACCCATACAAAGATCTTTGCAATTTTATAGAATACATTTCTTTGGGTTTTTCACTTAATGCTTCAGGAATTTTAAATCCTTTAGGGATTTTCATATAGATATCACTATCAATTGATCCATACAAGTAGGCTGTAACAACATCCATACGACACATCTCTAAATTTTCAGAGACTACCAAGCTGATTAAACATCTAAAAGTGGTTGCATCCATTATCTGTGAATAAGTTTCCTCATAATCAATTCCATGTCTTTTAGACAAACCTTGAGCCACAATCCTATCCTTGTATCTTACAATTTTTTCTTTTTCGTTTCTTTTTTGTTTCTTTTTCGTATGAAGATCCATCTATACCATAATGGTTTCACAACTCCAGGTGTGAGGATAATGGCCCCAAAAACATTTCTCTTGTTAAGGGAATTTAATTCAACTTGCATGGCCTCCTTCCACTTAGCCCAATCATTTCTTCATTGACATTCAATGACAGATTGTGGTTCAGGATCATTATTCATAATATCACATGCATCTGAATAAGAAAATATTCCACCAATATTATCAATTTCATTTTGGTCACATATTCTATTTGTTTGACCATAATTTAGTGCAACATCTTCCTTTCCTGGGGGAATTTTGATATTTAGTGCAACATTTTGGTCACATATTCTATTTTGGTCACAATTTTATTTTGGTCACATATTCTACTCCTCTTCTTTTTCGTGGGTTCTTATCCGTAGAACAAAATGGCCTTCCATTCTTCAGGCACATTTTAGACTCTTGAGTGAGTTTATCATCATATTTTCTATATGGAATTTCAATTCGAGCAGGAATATTGACAGTCGGTATTTATGATTTAGTCACCCTTTTGTGTCAGCAAATGCATCAGGAAATTGATTGGCCATTTCTTGGAAATGCATTATCTGTTGAAATTCCATTTCACATTGCTTTGTGCGAGCGTCAAGATATGATAAAGAAGGCTCATGCCATGAAACATCCTTTTCTAGAATCTTCTTTTCACCCCTAATGATTGAAAATTTACCTTATAAATTTGGCAATCAACTAGGTGTGCTATAAAAACATAACCAACATATATTACCAACCTTCTTTGATGACCCATTTTTGTCCGTTGTGTTGGTGCAATGGGGACATATACTGCACACCCAAAATTCTCAAAAGGGATATATTTCGCTCTTGACCAAAATCAAGTTGTAGGGGAGAATATACATGATATGAACATTGTGCCATGCGTATCAATGATCCAACATAGGGGTGAGCATGGTACGGTTTTAGGGCCAAACCGAACCTCAAACCGCAAGGTGCGGTTTTTGAATTCTAGAAACCGTTGTGTGCGGTTTTTCAATGGTTCGGTTTTGCGGTTTTTGAGTGCGGTTTCGGTTTGTACCAGTTCGGTGTCGGTTTTAAACCGAGTCAATCATATGGTGCAGTTTTTTATGTTCACCGATATGATTTTTTAACCGTGGTGTTCATGTGAATATTTATGATTGTATGACATGGTGTCATTTCGTTTCCTCACATTTAGAAGCTGTAATTTTGAGTTTTTTATGTTGTTTACTTTATCACTTCATTTGCAACCCTTATTCACAATCTCATTTTTTTATTCAATTTGTGCTTAGAAGTTACAAGCTTGCAAGTTGTAGCTCATATAGTGTTTACACTTTACACATAATCATTAAGTCACAAACACAAAGTGACAAACTCACATATTAAACCTAATACCTAATTATTAATTACCTTCAATTTCAATATATAATATATGTATAAATTATAATTTATTAGTTTCTTTTAAAATAATATGTATAACTGTATAATATAAATTAGTGATTTATTTTATTGTTAATAAGCTTGCGGTGCGGTTCGGTTTTGGTGGTCCGGTTTCTAGATAAAAACCGCACCGCACCAATAAATTCGGTTTTTCAAAAAAATAAAATCCGCACCATCGGTTTTTGCGTCGGTTTCGGTTTTCCGGTGGCGGTTTATTGCGGTTTTTACGGTTTTTCTTTTATCGGTTCGGTTTTTGCTCACCCCTAATCCAACATGTAAGATTGCATGGCGCCAAATAGAAACAAGAAGTTTGGTCCTCATTATCAATGGTCTAGCTATTAGCTGGAGACGTTTAGTCAGTGATTCAACTAAACCATTTTGTGTGTATACATGAGCAACTGGATGTGGATGTTTAACAACAATTCCTACAGACATACAATAGTCATTAACTGTTTGTGAAGTAAATTCGCCATCATTATCAAGTCTCACTCTTTGGATAGTATAATTAGGAAAATGTGCCTTTATTTAATAATTTGAGCAAGAAAGTTTGCAAATGCCATATTACGAGTTGATAATAGGTAAACATGATACCATTTGTTGAATGCATCTATCAGGACTATAAAGTATCTAAATGGTCCAGATGGTGGATGAATTGGTCCACATATCTCACCTTGAATTCTTTCTAGAAATCTAGGTGACTCTCTTTCAACTTTGATTGCAGAATGTTTTATAATTAACTTTCCAAGGGAACAAGATGTACATGGTCTTATGCTACTGGATTGAGGGAACTTTTGGTCCTTCAGTGGGTGCCCATACGTATTCTTAATTATCCTTCGCATCATTGTGGCCTAACCTATCATGCCATCAACTAAATGTCCTAGGACCACAATGTTTTTCTTTGAATACCATATTTGATTCAATCATATGTATGTACACTACTAGAAAAATAGCCTTTTACGACGCGCAATTAATGACACACACTGATAGAGGACGCGCACTTGTGCGTGCCCTAAAAATTAATGTCAGTTTTCCAAAATTTGAAGGATAGAGGACACACATTTTTGCATGCCCTAAAATTAGTGTCAGAAAAAAAAATACGGAGGGCTCCTATCAAAATATGTGCGTCATGTAAGTGTGCTTTATATTTTTTTTAAAGGAAACACACGTTTTAGGGGGAAAAATAAAATCCAAAAAATTAACCCCCGCCTATTCATCCCAAAAATTCCCAGCCTCTTCGAATTAGGGCCTTCGTCTTCATCCACAGCTTCCTCAATTCATCGATCCATCACCTTCACCAAAAACCTAATTCTCGTTTCTAACAAGTTCTTATACTCTTAATTCGACCCTAATGAGCTGAGGATTTAGGGTTCTTACGTCCCAGTTATCAATTTGAGCCGATGATTTAGGGTTCCTAAATCCGACCCTAATTTTTTCTATCTCACTCTCGTATTTCCATCTCATCCCTCTCGCCTGGTTCAAAACACGTAAGGGGCGACGAACACACTATTTCTTCGCATATTTTGGTCTTCACCAAGATCTGGTTTCCATGTAAGCTTTACGTTTCGAGCCCAAACCATCCTCACGCGATGTCATCAGCTTCTTTTACTTACGCATTTGCACTCGGTGGTTCTTTGTGTAGAAGCACCACTCCCGAACCTCAAATCATGGCTACGCTCCATCATCACCACACGCTCTTCGGTTCTAGATTTGTTAGGGCTTGTTTCATCCATTCATTGCCTCCCTACCACAAGCGATCTCATAACTCTGCCCAATCGACCCCCTTCAATCATCTTTGCTATCAAGATAATTCCGTCGTTGAAGAAGCTGTTAGTGATGATGAAGATAATGAAGAAACTTTGGTCTTGGAGGCCCTCTCACAGATTCAAACACTGACATTATTGCATTAAAGAACTACATGGATGCTCAGTATTATTGTAAGATTGGTATTGGAACTCCCTCTCAAAAGTTCACTGTGATCTTTGATACTGGAAGTTCTAATCTATGGGTGCCTTCTTCAAAGTGCTACTTTTCAGTGAATTTTGACTTTTCTAATTCAAGATTTCTCTCAATCTATAGCTTCAATCACGTGCTTATAATTCTTGATATGGATATAGGTTGCTTTCCTTTTTCACTTAAAGTATAAGGCGATCCATTCAAGCACCTACAAGAAAAATGGTATAGTCTCTTTTGATTTTTTCTCGATGACATTTTCGTAATTAACTGTATTTTCTTCATATGTCAATTAGGGACATCTGCTGCTATTCAATATGGAACTGGAGCTATCTCTGGTATCTTTAGCCAAGACTCTGGCCAACTTGGTAATCTTGTTGTTAAAGCACAGGTAAGAATTAAGAAATTTTGGTTTTTGATTCACTTAACTACTATTTTCTCATTATACTTTTTCTTTTAATCTTTTTTTTTTCAGGATTTTATAGAGGCAACAAAAGAACCTGGCATCACTTTCTTTGCAGCCAAGTTTGATGGTATTCTTAGCCTTGGATTTCAAGAAATCTCTGTTGGAAATGTTGTTCCTGTGTGGTAGTTTTCTTGCCCTGTTTCTTATTGACTTAATTGATACATAACTTAATCAGGACACATATAAAGCAGTGTTTCTTTGAGTTATTTCTAACAGAGATGGCTTAATATGTTAGTGTCATTTCTAAATAAAGGGTAAAATGGTCATTTACTCAGATTGTTAATTAAGATATTTGCATACCCTTTTGGTACAACATGGTAAATCAAGGTAGATCCTAATCATTTTAAGGGCAAACACACATATGTACCTGTGACTCAAAAGGGTTATTGGCAGGTAACTATCTTATTATAATATATCTATAAATAAATAAATATATATATATATATATATATTATATATATATATATATATATATATATATATATATATATATATATATATATAGTTCTTTATCTAAATTTCATTTTTCTTTTTTGTTTTTTGTTTGATATGCAGTACCCTCCATCAGGGCCAAGTGGGGAGGGGGGGGGCAGCTTGGTAATCGTGTGACTTCTGGGCCACTTGCAAATGAGTCTGCTGAAACATCAGCATTCTCCCCATTGATTGGAAGAAAAGTGAGAACCAGATGGCCTGATGACAACAATTTTTATGCTGGAAAAAATATACTTTCAGGGTCAGCATGCACTAGTTTATGATATTAGTACTGCAAATGAGACATGGGAATGGGTTAATCTTGCAGAGGTATGTGTAGAAAGTTAAAATGATGGGTGATATAGCATGTGTTAAATAAAATATTGTTTGATAATTGATGAAAATATCACCAGAGGATATACAATGGGAAGGGGAGGACCATGGGATTCCTGATAAAGGGGGTTATGGTGGATCAGCTCATGGAATAAGTAGACCTGTTGGGAGTGATAATGGTCCTGGTGGAGGTGGAGGTGGAGGGAGAGGTAGAGGGTTGCCCAAAAGTCAAGCAGCAACAACAAGAAAAGATTTTCCACCATCACAGAATGTCATTGGAAAGAAGGGTCTAGACAATATTCAGTCACTTCACACTGATACTCTGATAAAAGAGGTACATACATGATAATTGCAGATATATCATATATGTATATTGTATATTGTATTTACAAGAAGGGAAAGGAATTTTAACATTCATGCAACAGGTTGAGAGGGTATTTGGGTCTAGTCATCCAGATCCTGTTGAAATAGAGAAAGCTAAGAAAGTGCTCAAGGTTAGTTAAGTTTGTAAACATGTATGTATGATTTATGATTGAAATAATAATCATAATAATGATATATAATGTAGGAACATGAACAAGCACTGACTGATGCCATTGCAAGGCTTGCAGATATCTCAGATGGTGAAAGTGGTACAAAAACTAAACTAGACTATACTCTTCTTCCAACTCTACTAAATGCTTACTTCTTGAGTCCCACTTAAAGAGACAAGTGAATGAAACTAAGAAGACATGAAATTTTTTTGATGTTCCTGAGTTTTTATAATGGAAAGAAGAGAAAGGATAATCTTCCCTTCCAATTTGGAAGGATTTGGTTCCTTAAAATAAGACGTGAATTTAATTTCTTTTCTTTTTCTTCAAACTCGGGAACACATAAATTATTAAAATGTTATTTACCTTTTATTTTTTCAACCCTGGCAACATGAAAATACAATCTTCTTTTCTCTCCTTTTTTTTATTTGGTAAAACTTGGGAAATATATCATAAAACTAAATGACATATATGAATATAATTATAATGCTTGCATATTTATGGTAGAAAATCTCTCTGCCTTCTTAGGATATAACCGATCAACTTGTAGTTGGTATTGACCATTGACCATTGACCATTGACTATTGATTGACTTACTTTTTTCTGTTTGATGCAGAGTCAACTGGGAGGGAAATTGTTAATTTTTCAAAGTACTATTCCATCACTTGGTGTGGGTAGGTTAAGGTTATGAGGAGATGATATTTGGGCATATGGGACAAATAGAGAATACCAGAAGCTCCCTTTTATAAACAAATGGCTGCTGATAGCAATAAATTGGTTCTCATAATTCTTTGCATTTATTTCACTTCAATTACAATTTAGAGCATCCTACTTTTCACTTTGTTTCTTATCAACAGCAGGAGATAGCAACACACTTTCACTTATGAGTGTATCATAGCAACCTACTTTCATTTCATTCTATTACAACATTCTACTTTCAAATTCTTTCTACAAGTTGATAGATTTTCAAAACATGATATGTTGTAATACGATAAAGAAATGAATGACATGATACCTAAAAAGTTCTTTGTGATTTTTGAAAATTTAGCCTGATCGCAGATCTGAGTCATAGCCTTGACTCGGGTATCTGCAGGCACTGCCAAAATCCTTCATGAACTGTGAAAAAGTTGGAGATTTTTGAGAGGCTGCAACAAGATCAAGAAGCTCTGCTTCAACTTTTTCCAATGTTTTGGCTTTTGCAGCTGCATAGTTTCCAGACCCCCCAAACACCGCCACTGCAACCTGAACCACATATATAAATTATATATATTTACTTATTTACAATAACAAAACTATTTAAATAACACAATTACCTTAATCTTTGGTTCCTTTGTTCGAGAAGCAGAGGTGAAGTTCCTTGATTGCTGCAAAAAAAGCAATCCCTAAATTTGCAAACTTGCAACTGTTATTTCAATCATCACAGTTACAATGTATCAAGTTGCAGTCAATGTGTATGCCTTTAGTGACAAGTACACTGATATAGCTTCGCTAGGTATGTATTTACTGATATTGTTTTGTTTTGGTTTTTGTTTTATGAAATCTTGATAGTAATAAATTGATTCTCATAATTCTTTGCATTTATTTGACTCAGCTCTCATTCTGCGTGGGATTAGAATCGCTGCTCGTTTAAGATTTAAATTTTCCAGAGAAACCTCTCATCATAATTAAAAAAAGGGTTAAGGGTTGATAGAATGAGAGAAAAGAAAACACCAACACTCCATGGCTAATAAGAATAAAAAAAATAAAGATATGAGGCAAAAAAGGTAAAACAAACTCGTATGTATGAATATGATTTGTATGGTAATTAAATTTATAGTGTATGGATGTTTTGTTTTGCATGCAGTCTTTGTTTTGGCAGCTTAGACAAACTTGTAGCACCTGATCGTCCATGCCACTCTTGGTAAAACAAATTTATAGTGTACTTCTTCCATTCGTGTTAGTAATTTCTCATTATGATATGTTGTTTCTTGTTCAATTTTATGTTTAGGAGGTATTTTACTTTATTAAATGTTTAAAGTTACAGGACATGAGTATGGGCACATCATGGAAAAATTTAGGGCAATTGTTGGTCTTCCTCTTGGTGATCCATCAATGAAGTGGCCAACTTGCATCATGTAATAACATATTAGGCGAAGATGTAGGTATATGTTTTTTTAATGAATAATGTAATCATATGTATGAATATGAAATAAAGTTTGTTATTTAGTATGTGATAATCATGTATAGGGAGAAAACAACTTCTATTGATTTGTTTTATCTTTCCATGGATCGATTATTTGTATGACATTAAATTTTATGCAATGGATTGTATTTTTTATATATGGTATTTTATTTTCTGTTATGAGACATTAAATGCAAATTTAATTTGAAAACTAGTAAATCTATAATATTTTTTTAAACATTTAAAATTATGATACGCAAAAATGCGTGTCATCTTCATTTACGACATGGTCTTTCTTGACAGGGGCTTCCTTGATACGCATTGTGTGTCATAAACACGCGCGTCGTAAGGTTACGACACGCAAATGCATGTCGTCTTCCTTTATGACATGGCCTTCCTTGATACGCATTGCATGTCATAACTGTGCGTCGTAAATGCGTGTCATAAATGCGCGTCGTAAATAGACAACGCGCAAAAGCGTGTCGTCTCTCGTTATGACAGGGCCTTCCTTGACACGCATTTGCGCGTCGTCTGAGCGTTTTACGACACGCATTGCGCGTCGTAAAATGTTGTTTTTCTAGTAGTGGTATGTATAATGCATACCAATATCAAGTGTTGGTAGGTTTTCAAGTGCATGGTTTTTGTCTATAGTATACATATATTTAAATGGTCACAGTTTTTGTGTCACATCCTTTGAAATATATGTCATTGAAACTTAGTAAGTTTCGATTAGACTTTAGAGAAAACAAGGCATTTTCTATACAAAAGCTTGTACCATTTGGTAATATAAAATGGGATCTCCTATTTCCGTCTATCAAGTCTGCAGGACCTGATAATGTATGTATGACTGTTTTTGTTGGTACTAATTTTGAAAAATATTTCTTTTATTTCATAATAGTATGCGTACTACCACTATTTGCTATACAAAGATCTCCAACCTTTTCTTGGTGTTGTGCTCCAGGTGGACTCATTTTAAACTTCACATATGAAAGAAATAATAAGTCAATGAAAATAATCATAATAATTATTATAAAGAAATTTCATTTACTGTAGGAAAGATATTACATGAAAAATAAAGGAAGGAAAAACAGGTTTACTAGAATAATAATTAGCAGAGTGTATCAACATTATCAATGAGGTTGGTTTATTTTCATATTCCTTTAATGGACTCTTGATAAAGTTGACAAAAATGTGCAGGTGTGTGACAAGTCATTGACCAATGGCATGTGCTACCACGTACTTAACATGAACGATCAGATTTATGTGATGTCCTAGCATCATGTCTTTCCACTTTGGCCTTGTCTTGTGTATGTACATTGTTTCTTTGTGAAGATTGATAATTATTCCTTTTATGGCCATGAACATGATTATTACCTTGTCCATGACCAAAATTATGGTTCTGATTATGGCTTTGGTTTCGATTAAAATAACCATGACCTCGTCCTCGACCACGAGCTCGCCCCTTTCTACATGTATTGTTTCGATGAACATCAGTATTTGTAGCATTTGCTTCAGGTAGTGCTACTGATCCCATTGGACGAGATTCATGGATTTTCATCAAGATCTCATTGTTTTGCTATGCAACAAGCAGGCATGCATTCAGTTCAGAATATTTTGTGAACTTTTTCAACCGATATTTTCGCTTCAAGGTAATATTTGATGCATCAAACATGGAGTAAGTTTTCTCCAACATATCTTCATTAGTAACTTCTTATCCATAATACTTGAGTTGTGGACATATTCTGAACAAATATGAGTTGTATTCATTTTCTTTCTTAAAATCTTGAAACCTCAGGGTTCTCCATTCATCTCTAGCATTTGGAAGTATAACTTCCTTTTCATGATCAAATCTTTCCTTCAATAGATTCCAGAGAATACTTGGATCAGTAATATCAAGATATTCAAATTTCAACATTTTATCAATATGATTAGCAAGGAAAACTTTTGTGCTTTCGCCTTGTCTTGTGCCAAGAAATTATTACAACATATATAGCATACGAGATTTCTATATAGTTAAGATGCATTTTTACATCTATCATCCATGGCACATAGTTTTTCCTACTAACTTCGAGTGCTGGAAACTTGAGCTTTGCAATGTTGCACATAGTGTAACTATAAAATTTAAAAAAAATAACAAGATGAAAACTAAAATCCATTTATTTCAATATGTATTGCACAAAATAGAAGTGGGAGAAGAATCATCCTATACAAGACTAAGAAAGGATAAAATAAATCAGGATAAAATACATCTGGTGTAAGATTGAAAAATAGGAAGCCAAGTGCCATAATCATTATAGTTGCGAGAATCAAAACTAGATGAATCATTTTGATCTTGATAACCTTGAAGAGTGAGAATTTTACTCATTTTTGTGGTAAAAAGAAATATGATAGTGATGTTGTTTATAATAGAAAAATAGTCGTTCTTTTTGCCGTTTATAATCGTTGCATATATATAGTCGTTGTATATATATATATAATATATATATATATATAGATATAGATATATATATATTATATATATATATATATATATATAGATATATATATATATATGTATATGTATTTTATAATCATTAATAAGCTTATAATTAGTGCATAATTTTACTAATTAAAACAAAATAAATATTAGTAAATGTTTAAATAAAATTATGAAGAATAGCTAAAATATAAATAAATAAAAATTGGTATGTATAAAAAATGTTAGTATACATAAAAATTAGTTGCATAATTTAAAATGTCAGTATAAATAAATAAAAAATAGTTGCATAATGTAAATGAATAAATAAAAGTTAGAATACATAATTAATGGTTGGAAAAATAAATAAATATCATTAGTTATTAATAAAGAATAATTTTTCATAATTCATTACTATTTTTAATATAAAAGTTGTTTTATAATAAATACTTTTTTTAATTAGGTAATGCATACCTTGAGTAGGATAAATATGATTTCCACTTGATTAGAGCTTTCGTGTTGATAATGTGTTATAAATTCTTGAACACTTATATGAT